GATTTAATAATGCGATGTAGATGATCGACAGGTGTGTGACACGTGTTGAGGGGGGACTTTTACACCACGTCCTCCACAGCGCCCAATCACTCGAAAAGACCACATGGGCAGGACGACGGGTGTACAAGAGTCGGGCCAATCCAGAGTTTAGTTTCAGGTTATAAATCGGCCCTACACGGTCCAAAAGCGCGACCACAGGCTTGAGAGGGATTGCTCGAATGAGGCCTGGCACAGGCAGACTGAGGAACCACATCGTGGGCGACAGATTGTTCAGCTCTGGCAGCCACTGCACTGACGTTCACGCCCGGTTGCCCTTACTCTGTTTCCCCAACTCAAAGCGGTGAACGAGGGCAGGTGGAGTGAGGTAGATGCAGTGCAAATCAGCGTCACAAAAAAATTCCACACGCGAGACAGGCCTGCGCCTGTCTAGAGTGGTGTGGTCGACAAGACAAAGATTCCCAATCATAAGTCAGCGAAGACGGAATGAGTTGGACAACCTTTACTGTTTTGGAAGTGCGTACACAAAGGCTCTGCAGGAGGCAGTCGCCGCGCGCTCGCGCTCTCCAAGCAAGTTGCTGTCTGTGTCGGCCTTCGAGGTGCTCAGACCCCGCACGTGTGTGCGTCTTTCGTTGTCTCCGCGTCCGCCAGCCAATCAGAGGGGGGGGGGCAGCGTTGATTGGCCTGAAGCACTCGCGAGGCTAGTGACAAGCCCCGCGCATCCCAGCAGCGTATTGACAAGGAGTGTGAGGCGGACAGGAAGGCAGCGTGACAAAGGCGGAGGGCAAGGAGACGCGAACTGCCACACCCCCCTCCACGCTTCGCGAGGTGGTGTTGGATGTATTCTTTTGCGACCGCTGAGCTACTTCGTGTTTGTATGAGCGTGCACAGTCGCTGGGATCCTCTTCTGTCATCTTACCATCGAAGGCAACCGGGGTGAAAGTGGTACACTCCGTACCTCAGCCCTTTTGGCTACGCGTATTTGCACAACGATGATCCCCAGGACGCCTCAAGTTCTTCTTGCAAGGATCATTCAGTGCAATTCGCAAATGTGGCGATAGTAGACAAAATATCGTACGGACGTGCGGGGATTGTCGAACACATAGTGAGTAGCCAGAGCGTTAGTGGGCCGCGTAGATGGTCTGCTTACCCCTGCTAGCCACGAAATCCACACCCACTTGCGAACGGTCTGACCTTATTTGTGGTCGAAATTTGGTGGGTGTGGAAGTGGAGAGCAGAGGGGAGTAGATCTACTCCGGGCGCCTATTACAACGCTGCACCCCGCGCGTACTAGCACGCGCGTGCAGTCTGGTTCTCGGCCAATCACAGTTGCCCAAGCCGGCCAATCAACTTTAAGGCCGACGCAGACACCCTCGCTCTAGGCGCCCTGTATGTTCGTTTTCAAGATGCAAATTCACTAGCAAGTCACTTTGCGAAGCAGTGGTTATCAACGCTCTCGAAGAACGAATAATCAAGTGTTTTTGGAGCTTGAGTTTACTTTTTTTTCTGGTTCCAGGCCGGATAAGCGACTGCGCTGTAGAGGAAAATGGGCCTTTCATTATGCATGTGCTTTTTGTTGAAAATCCTAAGCACAAGTGCAACTGCAGGTCGCGTTCTAAATTATTCGGGAATTGAAAAAAAAGTTTTCATAAAACCCAAAGGCGTCCTTTCCTCAAGTGTGAAATTTGAAGAAGACGTAGTTTGTTACCAAATCAGTACAAGGAATAATATTTTGTGCCGCCCTTTACTAACATATATCTGAGTTCATGAGGGTATCTAAAATGAGTTTTAAAAATGCAACCTATATAAGCAGCGATTTTTTGTGGAAAACAAGCTTACGAGAACATAATTATTACGAAAATAGGCTTATCTAAGTGTCAGTATCCTGGTGTAACTGAATTACGGTAGGATTATGTTGCAGGATAATCACTATTACTAAACGAAATGGCGTCTTCTTCCCATTTTATGCTTAAGGTAATGGGTATAATTTGGTTTTAA